CGACTGAACAACAACAACAACCTGTACAGCAATGTCAGGGCTTGAACTCTTGCAGAACATTGCTCTGAAAAGCTAGGGCACCAGCAACCTTCTGAATGGACAGTGTTTTATATCTCTTGTTTTTTCTTCCCTTTGCTGGATAACTGCTTTGGAAACACAACTGTGGGTTAGTTATGGCATGGTCATGACCTGCAAAACAAGCTAGAGCTTGTAAACCTGAAATCGTTTTCACCTTCTTTATAAGCTTAAGTCAAGGAAGCCTGTTGAGCTGTAAGAAAAATAATGAAAACAAGCTGTGGAGTGTTTGATTTCATGTGACTTTATACACCTAGAAAGAGAAGCAAAAGAGAACAAGAGAATGTTGTGGGTAGGGTCAATAAAATGCAGCAAGAATTTCTCTTCAGTGTGGTTGTATTAATCCCTTCGCTGAAATTCAGAAATATATTCTATTTATTTCATACTGGTATCACCCAGACAGCACATACCATGTTTTAGCATGCCATCTCATATTGCTTGTACATCATGAAGCAGGGTAGAGCAACTTTTGCATATCCACTTTGCCAAAGGAGATCAATTCGTAAGATCCCCTCCAGTGGTAAAATCTGTAGGGATTTACTCTTTGAGTAGGAAAAAAAAAATGATTTATTGGATTTTCCAAGGTTAGCTTCCTGTTTGCGTTAGATATATTCCAAGGCCTGTTTGGGTCTGCACTGCAATGTTCAAAGAATGCAGCAGTGACACTTCTGCACTTAAAGTCACAGAGATGATGGAAGGGGGCATTTAAGCCCGATTCCAACTCCCTGCTCAGTGCAGGAATCCAGATTAAAAGCATCCTAGACAGATTGCTGCCTAATCTCCTCTTGAGCATATCTACTGAACAGGAGCCTGTTATTTTCCCTGCATAATAGATTCCACTGTAGAACTGCTTTTGTTGTTCAGAAGGTTATCTAACCTCCGGTCAGAATCTGCCTTTTTGTGACTTAAATCCATTATTCTATCTTCTGCCCTTGTCAACAAGAGAAAAGGCCTTTCTTCTATGTGATGTTTTTTCACAGTTCTGGGTTAGCTTTTCACAAGGCTAATCATACCCAGCTATTTCAATCTCTCTTCCTAGGATTTAGTTTCTAATTACCTGCTTGCCCTTGTTGCCTTTTTCTGAACCTGTTCTCATTTCTCTGGATCCTTAAAGGGTGTGCCTTGAACTGAAAACAGCCTTCAAGATGGTGCAGAATTAAATGCAGCAATAATCTCAAAATTCAGTTTGGAAATTATACTTCT